CTGCTATAAGAAAATTAAAATACATCACAAAGCCACAAAATGGAAATACATTGACTCCAAGTAACCTTCAGGTTTCATTTCAACTGCTATTTAAAAGAAGAAAAACCTCAGTTTGTTTCAACTGTTATTTCTTGATTAAATATTTAGTTAGCAGGCATGTAATAATACAGTAATAATGCAATATATTTAGTATTAATAATTAAGTTACATGTTAGAATAAAATAAATGAGCATGGTAAAGTTGATGAAAATGTTAGGAATGTGCAATAATAGAGGCAGTCCATGTTCCTTTTAATTTTAATAGTCCTTTAAATTCATTGGGACAAACAATTTCAAGGAAAATATTATAGATTCTTTGGGTTTTGAAGACCTGTGCTATGACTAGGATATGCTTTATGCTCAGCCTCCTAGTAACAGCCAAGGCCGAAGTTGTAGTTGGGGGTTTGCCAGTTCCAGTATCTCAGCTGATCTGAGTTGTTGGTATCCCAGGAATAGGATGTGACCCTTTGATAGGTAAGTTTCAGTCTCTTAAGGCTTTTACAGTGTAAAATAAGCTCACTGAAATAGGATTTGGTAGTTGTTGCAACTTTTAGAGCAAACTGATGTATGCGGTTTCCATGAGAAACATTGTGGTGTAAGTGCCCTACCAAGGTGTGTACTGGCAAATTACTGACATTCCAGTGTTGCCCCATGCAGAGCACATTACAGAAATCCATTCCTCAGATGGGAAAGGGCCTTTTGTGGAAAATCATTCTTCACAGCTTACGCAATGTCTGAGGCTAAGCTTGCAAAATCTTTCTCAAAGCAGTCAAGATAAAATAGTCTTTCAGTTCTTCCGATTGCTTTCCCAGAGCTGATACAGACGATAAAAGATTAAGGTAATGCTATCTGTTGACTATTAGCTCTCATCTAATTTTTTCTCTCAGCCTTGCATTTCTTTGCTCCTATTATCTGGCTACTTAGCACTTTTACTTGCGGTAAAGTAAACCCACGCACATGTTGCAGCTTTCTGGATCTGATTCTCAGCTAGTGTAACTCAGAACTGAGCAAAGTAACAGCTGTTTACAACATACCAATTCTTTCTGCTCTCAGGTTGTTTAGCAATTTAAAAACCTTTCACATTTTATTCTCATCACTTGGTGTCACTCCTTGGTGTAACTGAATGATGTACATGAAAGCATAAGTCAGTCTGTACATAGCTAGGATTGCTTTTGAGAAGTTCCCTTCAGTGCTCAGTTTTAATCCTTTAAAAAATAAGATAATGTACATGACATTTTGAATTATTTAATGTTTTCCTTTTTCTGGTTTTCTATTAACCCAGTTTTCATTTTCTTTTCCTTAAAATGCTAGGAATACATATTAAATACATTAGTAAAGTGATCGTTGTTCTTTAATAAGTTACACATTAATTGTTGGGGTTTACTGAAACTGTGTTAGCATTAGGGGAGGTCCTGTAAGACCACTGATGCTGGAAAGATATAATTTCTCATTAAAGAAGGGTAAGTGGAATTACGAGAACTAGCATTATGTCTATGGCAGTTTTTGTTTTCTGTGTTATTAAAAGACATACAAAGCTGCCAAGTCTTACGCAGTTTCACATGTGGCTTTAAAAAAAAAAAAATTATTGATCATCCCCATCAGAATAGGGATGTGAGAAAGAAATATGAGAGAGGAGACAATGAGAAAATAGCTTTTCTGCTTGCCAGATTGTGCATGGGGATGGGGTACGGCAACCTGATGGGCAGGTACCTGGTGCATGGGCAACTGGGAATTTGGGGATATTGGTCCCGCAAGTTGTATCTTTGCTATCTCCTTTGTCAGCTTGTATGCTTGCTTTGTTTTGGCTGCCACTTTTTGGCTTGGCTTCAGGAGGGAAAATGGAAGTCTGCTGATATCCCACAGGACAAGCCCTAGGTCATCCCTCAGTGACCAGAAGAAGTGATCACAAGGACATTTTTGTTGTATAATACCAGCCAGAGAGAACCCAGCTAGTCTTTGAATGGTTGTGGCCAGGTGGGTGGGTAGAAGGCTTCAGAAATAAGTGTCACAAAATTTGTGTGATGCTTGTTAAGTCAATAGTCATTTATTTGTTTGAAGTTCCATTTTTTTAAAATGCATTTTCAATTTCACTTTCATTTTCAGTGACTGATTATGTTTGATTCAGTTATGGTTGTTATTTTCAGGGTGAAAAATAACACTAGAGACTGCCAGATATTTGTCCATAACATTTTCGGGAGTTCTATTAAGCAAACAACTTTTGAGAATTAAATATAATATTAAAACACAAGCAAAGTGAATGATCAGGAACAAAAACCCGCAGTCATATTTGTATGTACCCCTATATACCTGCAGCACCATACAAATATATAAAAAGTTCTTAAACTGTGGTACACTGATTTGCTGTTTTTATCCCCGAGTTCCCCAAAACAAAATGTAATATAGCAAAACACAGTGAGATTAATTCAGAAATAGGCTTCTTGCTGATTTTTAGATTGCTTGTTTTTTTTTCATTGTTTGTGTGTAACTGATGTCGTCTGTGTGATAGTGAAACATAAATTGCTCTTTGAATTGCTGGCATGCCTGTGAAATGTTTGCACTAAAAAGTAAATATGAGTAGTACAGAGGGGGTGCTTCAGAGGTAGCATACCTCTTCACAAGGAAGCAGCAACGTGATCAAGATTTAAAAAAGCTGCAATTTCACCTTTGAAAATGTTTGGTCTTTGCACTTAGAAAACCAAGTTACTTCTATATGGCAGGAAGCACCTAGAAAATCAAGGTACTTTCATGAGGGAAATAAAAGAAAGACATGAACACACTGGAGCAAGTGCAGCAAAGGGCCACGAAGATGAAGGGCTTGAAGATACTTGTCGTGGGGAGGGCTGGGACTCTGCAGCCTGGAGAAGAGAGGGCTCAGAGGGATCTTGTTAATGTGTATGAATACCTGGTAGAAAGAAGTGAAGAAGTTGGAGCCAGGCTCTTCTCGGTGGTGCCCAGTGACAGGACAAGAGGCACTGGGCACAAACTGAAATACAGGAAATTCCACTTGAACAGAAGAAAAAACTAACATTTTTTCTGTAAGGGTCATCAAACACTGGAACAGGTTGCCCAGAGAGGTTGTGGAGTCTCCATCCTTGCAGTTATTCAAAACACACCTGGACACAGCCCCAGGCAGCCTACTCTAGTTGCTCTTGCTCTGCATGGGGCAGATGGACTAGGTGGTCTGCAGAGATCGTGTCCATCCTTAGCTATTCTGTGATTCCTGGTTCTATAAGCTACATCTTTTGTTTTCTGTGTTTATTCAAGGTTGTGCCACTGTGTGTATGAACTTAAGCAGCAGTTTTTTCTCTATTAAACTGAAAATCTTTGCACTTTATAAATCAGGGGTGTTCTCAAGTCAGGCTCCTGATATTCTTCCTAAAAGCTTCATTGTATACATGCATATATCATTTTATATCTCCTTGCATTGTGTTGAAATTTATGAATAACACATACAGTAGCTCCTGTAGAAGGCTTCTAGAAAGGCAATTAAGATGGCCATTCAACATTCCTGCATTTAAGACTTAAATGCAAAACTGTTAATGTTGACTTTTTAATTAAATATAAATATTATTGAGTTTTGGAATATGCTTCATAAGAAAGAGCTTATTTATTATTGAATGTTTCCTCCTTCCTCGTTGTTTTGACCATCCTTAAATAAAATCACAAACCCAACAATGAAGTAACTGGGATAGCATACAAATAATATATTGACCACGCCTGCTGCCCCTGCCCTCCCCTCCCCAGTCCCTAATGCATTTCTTCCTTCTCGGTAAAGTGTACAAACAGAAATTTATTGTGGTAAAAATCTACCTGGTGTAATAGACGTATTAATTATTGGTATTGTAGGTGCCTAAGATACACAGCTTCTTGTTATAATGTATTATTGTATTTCCTGCTACTTCCAGCCTTACCCCACCAGGTACAGCCATGTTCCAACCTTCTGATCCATACAATATAACAATATAAGTGCAATATTATCAACTTGGTCTGTGTTAGGTGGACAGATCCTGAGTTTTCAGTTGTGGGGCCATGAATGCCCTGTTATTGCCAGATTACTGCATAGTGCCCAGAGCACAGATGGGAGGTGGAACTTGCTATGAGAGGGGTCAGGAACTCATGGAATAGATCCCTTCCAAGGTATCAGGGGAAAGGCATTAAAGACCTTCTAAGTACAAAGTAATTTATTTCATTTTAGAAATTATGAGAGTATTTAATCTGTCATAGCACTTCATAATTCATTAGTTTTGTATAAACTGTGATTTGGGTCATTATTTTGCTCTGTCTTTCCTTGTCTTTTGGTTTTTACGTAGCGACTGATCATTGTATGACATCCACTGTACTTTATTGGGTTTCATATCTGGAAAGTCAACATGATTTAGTGAGTTTAGGTTAACGTAGCTTTCAACACTCTTAATACACCTAGCTGAATGTTAAGGCTTATTATATTAAGCATTTTCATATTTTTCAGACTTTACACTTTAGATGGAAAACTTGTTCAGAATGGGTCAGACTTGGAGAATGGGCAAATTTATGTTGCAGTGGGTAGAGAAAAGTTTAAGAAGTTGCCGTATGGTGATCTGCTCTTTAGCAAATCTACAATAAGAAGACCACAGGGGTAAGTTCTGTAGGCGTGTGATATACTTCTCATGTGCTTGTGTGTGTCAATTTGTTTACAAAGTACCACCAGTAAAGTACAAAATCATCATTCCAAGAACAAGGGATGGATGGATGGGTTAGTATGGATGCAAAACTTTATTGAGAACTTTACTGAGAAAGTTGAGATAACAAAAACAAAAGAGAAAATGGAAATTCAGAAGGCTCTTTCACCTCATAAACTTGCCATTGATCACGTATCACAAAATTAATGTCAGAGAAAGAATTATTTTTTACTTGGCTTAATTTATTTTTTTCCTGGGCTATAAGTGTGTACAACTAAATGAGGTTAGGTGCAGCTACACCAGTCTAGATCTACTCTTGCTTGGTAATGTTTTGTGGAATATGTACTCCCTTAAGAATGCTTTATGTTTGGGTCTATATTTAGTGGGCTAGAATTATCACATAATAGAGTCCTAAACTTGGGTCCCTGTAAGGAGAAACTTGGGCTTTTAGTACCTTTGGAAAGCATGAAAATAGGGAGCCGTTTCATCATTTGTGGGAAATTTGTCCCACAAATTGGTGTAATTTAGGGAATTTGTCCCATATTCTGCATATAAACTGGAGTGTAATTTATTTTTCGTTGGTTTTTTTTTTTTTTTTTTAGTGAGCAACTGTAGACAATGTGAATAACTTGAAAGTATTTTGGGAAACAGCATTTGCAACAAATTAATTTAAGGACAGTGAAAAGCTATGTTGATCAATTGATGTAAACAGTTTTATTGAAATTGCCGCAACTTTTCATTATAATAATTGTAAGGATCTTTCACATAGTAATTCACTGAATACTACTCTGCAAATTTTCAGTATATAAAGTATGCATTGTGGGGAAATGTAACGCATTTGTTTGAATAAGTTAATGATTATGCATTTAAATATAGTCTAGTGAACAGAAATAAGTGATTCTTAGTAAAAACATGCAATGAATAAAACAATTAACTCTGTTGCCGTAGCCAACTTGGTGTTACCTGACTTGGTTATAGATACTTAGTGTCTATGATAGTGACAGTGTACACAATTCTAAGATACGGCTTATTTCTGCAGGTCCAAAGCCTCTGTACTACCTCCGATTGTGGGATCTCGAAAGTCTAAAGGCAGTGTAAGTATCAAGTGCCATAATAAAGTCTGTTTCTAATTTCGCTTAATTCCAGCAGATGGAAAGTCCCTGTCCTTTGGGTTTTAATTAAATCTGAAGAGAAAAAATCCACAGCCACCTGGTGGTATGCTTATTAAAGCTTGATGAATCCGTAGCTATTTGCAGTGTCAATTAGACAAGAGAAATCTGAGAAAATATTATTGCAATAATGGCTGCTTTATTTTTTATAAAACCTTCCATAGCAAAGATCAGCTGCTGCCTTGAGGTATTTCCCATAAACTCTGTCAGCTATCTTTGTTTATTTGTTAAATTATTTATTCAAATTATACACCTAAAGAAAAAACACAGAACCTTTTACAAAGCATCTTGCAGAAAATGGTGTTTCTGCATGCTGAGTCTGAATAAGGCCCTAAACCAGTTTCCTATCTGATGTGTTTTGCCCTAGCGAACCATTAAATACAGAACTTGAGCCTCCACTGCTTTGTATCCTGTATAGCTGTTTATATGTGTACAAAATGAGTCCACTGTGGATTTAAAACAGTGCCAAATCAGAATATAAGTATCTGCACTGACTGTACAAGCGCAGTTTACTGTACAAGTACAAGACAGCAGAGAGTCAGACTCACAGTCTGTCATTATAATTGTGGTAGTTGATCATGTCCATTCACTGTTTACAGAACAAAAAAGCCTGGAGCCACTAAACAAAATAAGCAATAAAATATACATGTGTCTATTCCATTCTGTTGAAATTCAGTAGAAGATAAAACCTTAGTAAAGAACATACTTTCAAGTGGTGCTGGTTTTTTAAAATGTGAGCTTTGCAATTCTAGCATTTGTAAATATAACTCGTTAACAGTTTTAACTTCTTGCCTCTTCTACTATTACTTAACAGCCTATACAGAAAAGTATTTGATACTAACTTTTATTCCATTGGGATTGTAATACACACTGATAACAAGTGTCAAAACTTAAGGAGGCAGGAATGTGCACTACTGCTCTTAAAGATCTATGCAACACTTGAACTGGTATAAATCATGCAATTGTTTGTTTCAATTCGATATCTACAGTTTTTTACTATTATTGCTTGGGAATAACAGTCTCCAGTTTGAATTAGAAGGGGCTGAAATATTGCTGTGCCCTCATTTCTCTTTACAGAGAGAGGATAAATGGTAGATTTGATGGTATTGGTAGATAAATGGTAGGTTAGATGGTAAAAGCTAGATGGTATTTAAGTAAGATATTTTAAACAGAACTGATTTCTACTGATTATGTGAAAACTAGAAGGATCACATAAAAATATAATAATGTATGCAAGATTTTTTTAAAGAGATGTGGGATTTCATTCAGGACTTATTTTTCTGAAAGATTTTAATTTTATATAGTATTACGCTTTAACTTTAGCAGTGAGTTCTAAAGTGACACAAATTGTTCATGCAGTTACACCAGGTGAAACAATGAGGTAGAATATATTTGTCTTCTGTGATTTAACTAAGACTGTGATAAGGTGAACAGTTCCAGATACTGATAAGGTTTTCTGCCCTATCTGCTTGAGTGTTTTGTTTTTATATGGAGTGTTTTGACAGAACTGGATTAGAAAGGAACTACACGTACTGTTAGACTGTCAAAACTAGGAGGCTGGCAGCCTCTAATGAGAGGCAATGAATGATGAGGGTGTTCCGTTGGTAAAGTCTTTACGCAGCCTAGAATGATATAAACAGTACCCTAAAGGGCTGCTATGTACACTTCAGGTTTTTATGACGTTGATTGTGAGCAGATTTAAACTGAAGAAAAATGTGTATAAATAATGAAATCTCTGGCTGGTACACCCAGGATCATACATACATCAAAGCTGTAAAAATAAGGATCAGGTTTCTGATTCTGTTTCTAGATACACTACAGAACATGCAGAGGAACTGGCTGATGTCCTTGGAGGTGATTCAGAGGTGATGTGTTGGCAGACCCCTTTCTTACTGTCCACTTGGCAGTCAGTGTTACTGCCACACGAAGACTGTCATCCTCTTCCAGCTGCTTTTGACACTTAGCAGATTAATGCCCATGTCTCATTTACACAGACAATGAATTATTCACAAGTTATATAAGTTACATCTTGTGACTTTCCACACATATGCATAGATGAGATATGGCTGTATATCATATGCATGCATGTATAGATTCACCTAGCCATTCTTTTCATCAAATGAAGCATTATTTCCTTATAATAAACGTGTTATTTTCCTCTGGGAGTTATTGAGGAGCATTTAATCAGTCAGATCATATAGTAAGTTGATGAGATAGTTACAGTTTTCTGGATAGTTTAAGATATTGCTTAAGTGTACTGATTGTAAATTAATATGGTTCTTTAACACCTGATACCAATCCTTAGTACTAAAAGGTTGATATTATATTGAAATTAAAAAAATAAACTTTGTCATTTTAATCAGTGATAATTACGTACACTTCTTTTCAGGGAAATGATCGGCAATCTAAATCTACTGTTGGATCCAGTGACCCGGGAGAAAACAGTTCCTCACCTCAGCCTCCCAAAGGGAAGGACAAAAAAAGCCAGAATCCAGAGGATTCTGTGTTCAGACGACACTTTTCTAACAACTCTACAAAAGTAAATCAGACAGTAAAAGTAACAGCTTCCACAGGAGTCCTTCAAGATAATGGTCAGTACCGAGATAAACGCTATCGTAGCATAGTGGCTTTTGATCTTCATTTAAAACAGTGAAACAGTGGAATAATATGCTTGCATAGTTCTTGAATTGTCTGTTTACTCTGGCTAACTGAATTTACAAAAGTTCTTTCTGCTTAGGAAATGTACCTATGCATAACTGCTACATCCCTGGCTTCATTTACATACCACAGGAGACTGTATGTGATATTTAGTATACCTTGCAAGTTAAACTAATATGGACCTGTCTTTATGCTTTTATCAAAAGCATAATAGAAAACATATTTTTACCATTTTCCCACTGTTCTGCCCTGCAAAAAAGTGAAAAAAAGGAGCTGGTCTGCTCAAAGGGCACCTCGCTCTCCCTGAGGATCCCTGGTTAGCTGCCTGGTTCTGTATAACAAAATGACTAGACCCTGAGGGAATAACACAAACATGAACTCCAGTTAGCCGATAGCTGCTGAGACTAATCATACAGCAGAGCTGCTGGACGCACTTCCAGAATTTCTCCACCACTGTGCTGTGGCAGCAATTTAGAAATTTAGTCATAAACATCCTCTTTGAGAAACTGCTTTTCCTATCTTACGGTGTGATATTCCCCCTCACCCCCATTTTTTTTTAATGGCTGGAAGACTGTCCCCTCACTACAGATATTGCTGACATGCTGGGATGGCTATTTTTCCTCATTAGTAATAGTTCCAAAAGTCATTAATACAGGCCAATTAATATCTGTCAGGAGAAATAAATTATACTTTTCATAGCATTTTACATTTCTTCTCACTGCTGCTTAAGTGTTAATAATTAAGTGTGCAATAACAAATCATGGTCTAAAATTTCAGTATATGTCATCCAACAGCACAGTTTTGTACCTCTGTTTGTCTAGAATCATGAGTTGTAAATTTACATTGAGTCAGGAGCGGGTTTGTAAATTTGAGTTTTAAAATTACATAGACAGTGGGATTGAGTGCACCTTCAACAAAAGTTTGCAGACGACACCAAGCTGGCATGTGGTCGACATGCCAGAAGGGCAGGATGCCATCCAGAGGGACCTGGACAAGCTCAAGAAGTGGGCCTGTGTGAACCTCATGAGGTTTAACAAGGCCAAGTGCAAGGTCCTGCACCTGGGTCGGGGCAACCCCCAGTATCAATACAGGCTGGGGGATGAAGGGATTGAGAGCAGCCCTGCCGAGAAGGGCTTGGGGGTACTGGTGGATGAAAAGCTGGACATGAGCCGACAACGTGCGCTCGCAACCCAGAAGACCAATCGTATCCTGGGCTGCATCAAAAGAAGCGTGGCCAGCAGGTCAAGGGAGGTGATTCTGCCCCTCTGCTCTGCTCTGGGGAGACTCTACCTGGAATACTGAGTCCAGCTCTGGAGTCTTCAGTACAAGAAAGACATGGACCTGTTGGAGCGGGTCCAGAGGAGGGCCACAAAAATGATCAGAGGGATGGAACACCTCTCCTATGAAGAAAGGCTGAGAGAGTTGGGGTTGTTCAGCCTAGAGAAGAGGCGGCTTCAGGGAGACCTCACTGCAGCCTATCAGTACTTAAAGGGGGCTTATAAAAAAGGTGGCAGCAAACTTTTTAGCAGGGCCTGTTGCGACAGGACAAGGGGTAATGGTTTTAAACTAAAAGAGGGTAGATTCAGACTAGATATAAGGAAGAAATTTTTTACGCTGAGAGTGGTGAAAGACTGGCATAGGTTGCCCAGAGAGGTGGTGGATGCCCCTCCCTGGAAACGTTCAAGGTCAGGTTGGATGGGGCTCTGAGCAACCTGATCTAGTTGAAGATGTCCCTGCCCACGGCAGGCGGGTTGGGCTGAATGGCCTTTAAAGGTCCCTTCCAACCCAAACTATTCTATGATTCTATGAAAAGATCAATGAAATATAATCTTTTGTAATATAATTGTCTTTTCAAGAGTAAGCTTGTTGAATTTCAGGTTTATTTTAATCTTGATTCAATACCATTCTGTCCTTTTGCTGGTAAGTAGACATAATTTTAGCCAACTCTTTTTTGGTCAAGTTTTTTTTCTTATTGTAGAATGATGATTATATTATAATGAAAGTGACTGGAAATATTTGTCCTTTATAACTCATGAAATGACTGAATATATTCTTCTTGAAATCATCATGGTGTATCCCCACTTTTTCCTGATTGAGTGGTGCATGCTAAAAACATATGAGGGAGAGACTACCAGAGCTGACCTCTCAGAGGGGGCCTTGCATGCTTGGCTTACCATTTTTAAAGGCTCAGAATCATTATGTAAGACACAAAGAATGCAGGGAAAGGCTTTTACATTTAGGCAGTTGTCTACCCTGGATACCTTCAATTGTTGACATGCTTTTTTGGTTTGTTTTTTTTTTTTTTTTTTTGAAACAGATGCATTGACTTCTGTTGGGAAATGCCAGTACAGAATTCTTTATACAGAGCTCAAAATCCACATGTTCTGATCTAGTCTCCTGTTCAGAGTACTGAACTGCTCTGAACCTCTACTTATGAGTAGACACATTTCAGTCAGACCTCTTACATTAAGAACAGCCAAGCCACATAACATTTTCTGTTAGGCATAGTGCCATTATGGTGGTTTTCTAGATGCTATTTTTTCTGGCCTGAGGATTTTTGTAAGTAAAGTTTCTACAGATGTTTCCTGGAAGCAAATGGACCCCTCTTGCCAAGGTGAGAGAAATTTGTTCTTTGCCTTTGTCGGCGTTGCATTAGGTTATCGGAGGTTTCTGATTGCTTTCTTTCATTTCCCAGTGGAGGGAAGAGTACTAGAAGCAGCAATAGTTTCTCTGTCCTTTCAGCAGGCAGTGACTAAGAGACAAATCTTACTTTGGTAGATAGCAGACAAATATAGGGAGATATTTACCTCTCCATATTTAGTGCTATTGCTTCTCCACCTGCTGACAGGAATGGTTGGAAATCCACTAAGTGTATTGAATAAATGACTGCTTGCTTCTCACTTCAGCTTTTCCATACTTTGTGAGTCTTGCATAACTAGGAGAAGCTATTCAAGGCAACCAATTCTCTGGTTTGAGCTAACGTGTATGTTGGGAGAAGCTCTCTGTTCTTTCTGTGCTCCTCTATTTATCCTCCATGTATGAAGACCTGCTAGCAGAAGTGGGAATGGGCAGTTTGACGTGTGTGCCGTTCTGCAAGTCTAGACAGACCTAGCTGGTCATGCAGGCAGTTGCTGAGGGAGATGAAGTCTCTAGGTTGAATTCAGACAACAGTATGGGATGAGAAATCCAGAGCTGTGTAATGGATTTCTGTTGGGGTGCAGTCCCTGCTCTCAGTGGATCTCTGTTGATGAGGAGATATATACTAAGCCAGTGAGAACTGTTTTCTTTTGCCAAGCACAAAAAGCAAACCATCTCATGCTCCTGTAAGTCTTTAGGCCAACTACAGTGACAATTGCAGACTTGTGAACATCTACAGACTTAACTTTCCCCAGTTAAATTCCCCAATATTTGTTCAGCCAGATCAAGTGGAAAATATTCCAGGAAGCAGTTGCCTTAAGCTTCTCATCACAAGGCTACTATTCAAAGTGATTTTCAGCCCTGCTTGTATTTTAACAAGAGGTGCATCCCTCTTATTACATTATTCTAGTCCTGCTTAAATGTATTTCTTTGCCACATGATTCAAATTAAATTTAATTATGTTGTATTTATTTATTTATTTTCTCATTCCCTTTCTGGTTCCATTTTTCTTTCTGATATTTTGCAGTAAGTATGATAAAATTTTTTATGTTATCAAAAGCAAAAGTATGATGTCCTATTTCCTGCATTTTGCTTTACAAGCCCTCAATAATACTAGATAATATCCTGTATTCACCATTTCACGTGAGAAACCATGTGCAGTTGTTCTGAGTCTGTTAGGTCTTAGTAGAACACTTTTTTGCTATGGCATTTTTTTAAATAAGTGGTTTATCATTGTGTGGAAAATGTGTGAAGGGCGCATGGAGCACTGGAGAGACATCCCACTTGTCCCTTTTCTTTCCCTTTAGTCATTTGAGCCGAAAATTTGTAAGGGAGTGCTCCAGGTCCCTTAAAATCCACAGAGTTTTTTTTGTTTGTTTTGGATTTTTTCCCCTCTCCAGAAGAGGTAGAGCTGTGCTTGCTGCAATAGTTTTTGTCATGTGTCGTGGTTTAACCCCAGTTGGCAACTGAGCACCACGCAGCCGCTCGCTCACTCCCCCACAGTGGGATGGGGGAGAGAATCGGAAGGGTAAAAGTGAGAAAACTCGTGGGTTGAGATAAAGACAGTTTAATAGGTAGAGCAAAAGCCGCGCACACAAGCAAAACAAAACAAAGGAATTCATTCCCTACTTCCCATCGGCAGGCGGGTGTTCAGCCATCCCCAGGAAAGCAGGCCTCCATCACGCGTAACGGTTATTTGGGAAGACAAACGCCACCACTCCAAACGTCCCCCCCTTCCTTCTTCTTCCCCCAGCTTTATATACTGAGCATGACGTCACATGGTGTGGAATATCCCGTTGGCCAGTTTGGGTCAGCTGTCCTGGCTGTGCCCCCTCCCAGCTTCTTGTGCACCTCCAGCCTTCTCGGTCAGTAGAGCATGGGAAGTTGGAAAGTCCTTGACTAGTATAAACACTACCTAGCAACAACTGAAAACATGGATGTGTTATCAACATTGTTCTCACCCTAAATCCAAAACACAGCACTGTACCAGCTCCTAGGAAGGAAATTAACTCTATCCCTGCCGAAACCAGGACATCATGCTAGCCAAGCAATATGTCTGAACCACATTCTGAAATAGGTGTGTCTCATCATAAGAAAGGGTAATTCAGCCACTGTACCCAGTTTATTTTCTGAATTGTCTGAGGTGTAACAGACTGGTAGAAGTACCCAACCTTTTGACAAGAGCTGATGCTGTTGGCAAAACGTCTGAGGTTTCTTTTCACCCACTGAGGCAAGTGGCGTGTGTCACCATTTAAAGAGAAACAGAAATGTCCGTCTGGAAGTGGATGGCATTTGA